TGAGCCTTTGTATCTATGCATGATGTATAGGTATGAGATAGAAAGGGAGTATATATAGATGGTTTTCATTTGTTGTTATTCGTTAACCTTAGAGCATGAGAAGGGTGGGTTAGTTAAACAAAAACTATAACCATGGTTAGGTTTAGAAATGACTTAAGGATGCATTTGGCATTCTTTATTTTAAGTACTTATCTTCTTTTTATAACTTAAATCTCAGTATTTGCATGGACATTTTAAGTTTTTAACAATGAAAAGGAGATAAATCTTTAAAATAAGAAATAACAAATGCAGCCAACAGACCAAAGATTTTTGAAAGGTGGGTTAGTCAAACAAAAAATTATAATCTCTAGAATGCTGTGTATCTTAGGGCAACTAAAGGAAACCCAGGAATGGTAGGTGTATTGAGGAATCATTCTGAGCAATGGTGTGGTGGGCATTGCCTCTAATGATCAAGATCAAATCAGCCCCCTACAACGTTCCACACCATATCCCCACCATATATTGTGAATATTTTCTGATGATGATATCAGCCCTTAAAATAAAGAATGCTAAATACAATCTTAAACTAGCTTGGATCCATGCGGTGAAAGTCTTTGTTAAGCAAAGTCCAACTCAAGTGTATGTCTAGCCTATCCAATCCCAAGTTGTACCTTGGTAAGAGTGGCCAATTTTCTGTATTTGTTATTATTTATTTGGGGAAATTATAAAAACTCCCCGAGTTTTCTACCAATCTTATAAATTTCCATGTGTTTGACCCTAATAAAAACTCTCTCTATGGGTCGCAGTGCAAATTTCTTTTCTACTGGTATAAATGCACGGGAGTGCAAATAGGCTGAGTATAAAATCTGGTCTACTGTTGCTTCAGATTTGACCTTTTGTGAAAAATAAAATAGGACAACCCCCACTAAAATAAAATGAAATAGGAAACATAATAGTGTAGTCCCACCTTATATGCAAGAGAATGTGGTGCGAGGGTTATTTGTTTGGGAATTGGGAATGAGATAGGAAATAAGATGATGTTGTTCCAACTTTATATGAGGGAGAATTGAGGTAGGATGAAGGTGGTGCAAAATTTTCAATTTCGAGATGTAAAATTTATACTACTAATGAGTAAAAATGAGACAAAAAGAATAAATGATGTTTAAGGTAAGAGTACAAATCATAATTACAAACAAAAAGACATAAAACTGTGCAAACTGAACCGTATTTTCCATCTAGAAAGCTAATGATTTTAAATAAAATTAATAAGTTCCTTTTAACTTTTATTAGTTAATTATTTATATATATTAACTTGAAATAGAATTTAAACGTATTTTAAATTAATTAAATGTATTTAAGTTAATAAAAATAAATTACTTAATTTATTTTAATTATGTTAATCGTGTAAAGTAAGTTGCTAATTTTTAATTTCCCTTTATTCATATTTTTGCTAGTTTGTGATTTTTAATATTTCCTTAATAAATATCACATTTAAATATATTATAAAATATTTGTTATTTTTAATGAAAATTTCTCTTGTTTTATTAATTAATTAAAAAATTTATGTTTCTATTTTTTTTATAATTTTTTGATTTTATAAAAGTTTCCCTTATTTTATTGTTCTTTTCTCGTTAATTAACAAACTTGTTAACAATTTTTCTATTATACTCCCTTATTTTTCTGTTTTTCTGTTTTCTATTTAATAAAATTAGTTTTTTTAGTGAAAATTTCTCTTATTTGCTTTTTTATTTCCAAATTTGCATAACTGAGTTGAACTGATCAAATCAGGTCAGTCTAGTTTAGTATTAACTGGTAGTTGAAGCTAAGGGGTTGGATGTTTTTCATGTATTCAAAGAACCTAACCATTCAATTTTGTCTTCTTAATGCATAGTGCGTTTTGGGCCCTTGGTTCATTTCTTCTTGACCATCCTTTTGCTATAGTGTTTGTCAAATTTTAGCATTAATACAAATAGTGATGTGCGGGGCTCATAGTCATATGTAAAGAGAAATAGATTTTATAACATCAATATTAAAATATCATTTATAATTATAATAATATTTTTAATTAATTGTTTTTTTTTTCGCTCGAGATGCTGGCATGTGAGATAGATTAGAGATGTTTTAGGAGAAAGTTTTAGAAAAAAAAATTAGGAGAAAAGATGACTTAGGTGATTGGCAGAGAGAGAGAGAGAGAGATTTTAAGAATAAGATAAGGGGATATTGCCTATATGATTTCCTTATTGGTTTAATCGACAATTAGGTAGAATTAAAAAAATAAAAAATATAAAAATAGAAAATTAGAAAAAGGGTTTGAGATGAACAACCTTGCTTTATATATATAGAATAAATAGATTAATTAATTATCATACTTCAACTTTTTATTAACAAAAACCCATACATCACACGATGAGTTCACATCCCAACTGTATATTGAAAACATCTCATCTCCCATATACAAATGATGTTACCAATGCATGAGGAGCCCGCTGTGGGGCGCTGGCGTGCTGATGCCCACTGGGCCACTAGTATTAATTAATCAAAGTATATTTAAATGGTAACGTATCGTATGGGTTGGAATCTATTGTGTTTGGAGAAATTTTATGATAAGGCAATACCAATACCAATACCAATACCAATACCATAGCCTTGAGCTGTTGGATAGTCAAAATAGAAGGTTGAAAAGTGGCCCCGGATCGTTTCGCTCGAGAGAAGTGAGAACTTGTTTTGAGCTTAAATTGTGATTTTGTGTGGGATGCCTCTATGATAGTAAATCTCAGGAGACACCAAGCAAGACTGTATAGAATTAATAGCTCATTCCTTCTAGTACATGACTTTTAATTATAGTGGAGAGTTTATTTTCTAACTCGTGCCTCATTATCTTCTACATTATGCCTGTTTAGAACTGAAATTTCAATATTGCACATGGAGGCAATTGACCTACCCTACAAGAGCTCACATGGTATATAAAGAAGACCACTTCAATCGTCTATTCTGGATTCAATATGATCTTCGGATCAGTGCGTTAACTCATAGAAAAGTAAACCATTCGTGAATCATGACTGGACTTTTAATACTTATTCTTTTCCTTTTCTGAAGGGCCCTAAGGCAAATTCATTGCAACGAACAGATAACAGAAAGGATCAAGTGTGAGTGCGTGTGTGGTTACAAGCAAACTTAACTAGAGCACGAGCAACATGATTCCCTGTACGAGAGTGAAGGAGAGAGTACAATTCGAAAATCCGCTCATCAGAAGTCTCCTGTATGCAGTTAGCAACAATCCGCTAAAATTTTAGACTGTGCAGCCAAGCATGTAACTTGAATTTGACAAGTGATGGTGCGCGATCTCACTACTCCTAGCTGGAGGGCGATCCGAATTCTAGATGGACGGCGAGTTGGACCAATCTGCAAAACATTGTATCAGAGAATCCGGGGTACCTAATCCGGTGAGGTCGCTCCAATGCTTAAGTCAGTAATTATGCTGTGAATGCGAGCTGAATGCTTGAGAGCTTGAGCGCTAGTGATTAGAGTAATCATACATACCTTTGCTTTGAGATTTCAAGTCTTTATATACTAGAGTAGTCGTGGGTCTTATGGAAGAGCTCTGGGATCTTCGAGCTGTGGAGATAAGGTTGGTTCCGTTTTTGAAGGAGAGCAGTACGTTGATAAGGTTTATCATCTACCTCTGATTCAGGCGGAATCGGGATGAGTTCTTATCGTGATCTCGGGAAATCCGGGGTCTGTTGGCCCATCGTGACCTCAAGAGATTCGGGATCTATTGGGGAGGCCTTTGGAGTCGGTTATGCGGCGCTTCGGTTCATTAGGTCCGAGCTGGGACTTCGATTCTTTAGTCCCGAACTGGATTGGGTGTCGAGGTGCCTCTACGTCGAGGCGGGTTTTGGGCCGAGGTGGCTAAATACCCGAACTACGAATGCTGCGAACTGGGCTTGCCAGACTGAGTTGTCATCCTTCGTTCAGATCGTGCCTATGTGTCCCCTTCCTGCTAGGTCGTGCCAAATCACCCTTCATCAACAAGTAATTACAATAGTACACGTAAGTGAACATCTGAAAATGACAACGTTGAAGTTAATACCACGATGACAAGAGAATGTGCTTGTTTGATCATCCTTGGGTTCACTGCAAGTATTAAAGCATTTTGGGTACTTTTTCTTGAAGAACTAGGATAGGCATCAGCCCATAGGTATCAGGAGCATGGTTTTCCTAGAAAAACTAGGTGACTGATCTCTTTTACCTCAGAACCATTATTTCACCAAAAACCGTTGATTTGGTTAGTAAATCACTGATCTGGGTGGTCGAAGTATTTGAACCGTCCAATGATTTTGGTTGTTTTTTATTTTTTATTTTTTTGTCAGAACAAGCCATCCATTCGATTCGAACGATTGGACCTTTCAACCGGAGAACCAGACAGATAAAGATGTCGGGGAGAGAGTAAAAAATAAAGGAATGATTGTATTACTTGACCTGTCAATCAGTTTGAGATAGAAACAATATATATACACAAAGATGAAAGAATAAATAAAGAAACTAAGAATAGGAGCCTATGTACAAAGATTTTCTAATTAATTTCTGCTAATTAATTCTTTCTAATTTAATGTTGCCAAATCAGTGTGAGAACCTTTATTAATAATTGGAGAAGATTTGTCATTAGCAACTGCTAAATATCCTTTATTCTTAAATGCTATTATGGATTGAGAGACTCCATTGGTAACTGCCAGTCTTGTGGAGTTGCCTTTTGGAGAACTTTCCTTAATAAGAACCCATGACCATTAATTGTCTCATTCGGTTTTAATTTTAAAAACCTTGATTAAAGAATAAAAACTTATTCAAAGACCACACCTAAACACTCTTAACAGCTTAAACTTTGAAGGTATGATATCGAAGTCTGTTTGACTGGCATTACTACGATGTCAGTTGTCCATCTGATCCCAGACACTGGTAGGCACAGATCTATGTGTGTAATTTGAAAGGCTCTAGTAATATGTTTCAAGCAAATAGAACAAAAATTTAACAACAAAACAAGTACACATGAAACGTGCGTGTCGAAGTTTTATTTCGTCATACTTATTCTTTGAATCCTTACAGAGCTACAGGCGGATTCAAATTAAGATGCTATTTATTAAGACACACCTTCATTAAGAGGGGCTCATGGGCAAAATACAACCCTGTAGTTAGTACCACCAGGGCAGGTGAAAGTGCTTGTAGGGTCATCCTTGGGGTAACTGTACGAAGTGGGGCACCTATCCTTGAAGAACCTGGACAAGGGAGTCGGTCCACAGTTCCCGGAGTTGCAACAGTATTGATCCGTCTTGTATACGGTACATGGATTGTTACAGCCTCCGGGGGCCCTAAGTTCAGCTGGGCACTGCCCCACGATATCAGCTGAGCATTTGATTCCCCGGCAGTTGCCACTGGTAGGGCTGAAGTCCATGGGGATGTTAAATCCATCTACCAGGGAGATGTCGAAGAAATCCAAGTTATTGTATTGATTCAATGCGTATTCAGCTAAGGTGTTGGGTGGGACACCATAACCTTGGCATTGTAGTACCCCACCACAGTCACCGGTCTGACACCGTCCCCGGCCGTTTGCGTCGAAGTTGCAGTTGGTGCGGCCCCAAATGCGAGCTCCCTTTGTGCCGGCAGGTACGTTGATGGTCCATGACTGGCCTCGTTCAAGCCGCCTGCCACCACCCGGGGAAGCAGCGGCCCAGACTGTGTAGGCGCATTGGTTTCGGATTTCAAATTGGGCTGCATGGGTGAAGGTGAAGAGGAGAGCAGAATAGAGGAGGAAGAAGGTGGGGAGTTTACTTGTAAAGGCCATCTTCAGTAACCCAGAAAGTAGTGAGAAAGATATAGGTAGTATTCTGGTTTTGTGTTCAAGCCAAAGCCCAAAGGAGGTTTTTATAGAGAGGTGGGGCTGCAGACTCCAGGTCCAGTCCAGTGCACCTTTGGAAGATTGGGCACATTTGGTTGACTATTCTGGTTCATGGAATAAGGGCAAGATACAAAAAGAAAGCCATAAATGACCCAGGAAAAATCATAGGGATACGACTTAAAGCACTAGGTACAGTTCTCCCACTTGGGTTACACAAGCGAGAAAGACTTCAAGTCGTCTTAGCGTTTAGGCTCCTTATCCTTTAAGGGAGAATTAAGTCAATTAACCCTAGCTGGTCAAGAAAAGCAGCAGGTCACTAACAACAATTTGGTGTGATGTTGATACAAAAGCCTTGGTCTGGAAAATTTCCAGCGAAGAAATACGTCGAATGGTGTATTTAAAATTTTAAATTTCGGATCCGAGACGTGTACCACCACGGAATAGGAAATCCAATGAAAGGATGTATAGATCACTGACGTGGTTATATATCTCCGTAGCAGATACGTCCACATCTCCATTCCCGCTAACGCAAGGTTATCGCATTTTCCGTCCTCATGATTTTTTATAATATTAACTATTTTGTTTTTATTTTTTATTTTATTTAAAAAATAAAAATAAAATAATTAAAATTTACAGTCCTATTAAAAAAGATTCAAACATATTTAACTATATTTTTTAAAAATATTAATATATAGATGTTTATATATATATATATATATAATCCCACTCCCCGTCTCCACTAACAGGGATGAAAACTTCTTCAACCCCATATCTGCGGGATAAAATCATCCCCATCCCTATCCCATTCGGAACAGATCCCCATGTAAAAAAAATGGAGAAAATTGTTGTTCCTAAATTATACATGTCTTAATTATTAATTTGTAGCACATATCCCGATTTAAAAGTCTTAATTTATCATTTATATTAATACAAAATACAAGGTTTTGTATTTATATATTGTACTGTTCCTCGTGGGCAGATTCAAGGGACTCGTAAACCCTAAGTTGTAGCCGAAGAGTGACTAGAAGTCTAGGCAACTAGAGATCAGGAACCTGAGGCCGGGATCCAAGAACTATGCTGTAATGAGGTTGATTTCAAATAAAATACAGCAGTTTTCTCAGGTTCTTGCACTGAGATTGATGCACTCATGCACGGTCCTTACTTGAAATTAATGCACGAATTGTTGAATAAATGAAAACAAAACTATTCTGATTCGACTTCTGAGAAGCTAAATTCATTAAAAGCATCTAATTTATAACTTACAAGTTACAAATAACTAAGATCTGCTAGAAACAAGACGTCGAAACGGGGCTTAAAACAAAAACACCAATAAGAAGTGATCTTTTCTCTTTTAAAACAAGGCGTACATGTATTTCCAATTTTCGGTACAGGTGAATTCCTAACTCTTAATAAGTATAGGGTGCCCTTTCATATGTGATTTTCTTGTCGTAGATGATAGACCAATCTATAGCAAGCTGGATTTATATATCTTGGCTATCTCCTGTATCCTTCAAAGTATTCAACTGGTACGCGTAATCTGGCTGAACATATATCATGTTTTGGAATGCTTTGTCCAGCATTCAGGGAGTGAAAATTTTTCCTTTGGGCAGTAAGCCATGCGGACACCGGATCTCCTGCCTACAGGAATTTTGCCTATGTTTACCCGTGAATTGAGAACATTTTTTCCTGTATAATACTATCCAGAAGATAAGATATTCTTCATGTATGACTGAGATAAATGTGAGCAGAATTATTGTGGGTAAAAAATCCAGACTCAGTTCAGATCTCTGCTCACAAAAAATCTATCACATCTACATTGTACATCGCTAGCTTCTTGTGGGTAGGAGATCCGGACTGGACACGCGTTCAGATGTCCTACGCAGTATGCACACAAGACCCTACCCACGTTTATTGATGGGAGTGGGACACGGCCACACGGGTAGCTAGGGATGCAAATTTATATCCAATTCGATCCTAGCAGAATCTTACAAAAGTTAATTTGAATAAAATTGTGGAATATTCGAATCTGATCCGTATTGATTTAACTACCTATAGGCATAAAATTTAATCAATTATTGAAAATATAAGCATTTTTAACTATTTTTATCATGTATATGCACGACTTTTTTTATAAGGGTTTCTAGCATAGAAGGAAAACTTTTGGGGTTTAATATTAATGAATGATGTATTTAAAAAATAGTTTAATTTTTTAAAAATAATATCAATAAAGGGCAAAAACATTCTTCATCTTCTTCTTGCCATTTGTTCATCAGAGCCGCCGTTCGCTGCCGGTTGCCGTTGCCATCTGTCGTCGCCTCCGCCCACCTCCACCTCTGGCAACGTTGCTGGAGGTGGTGGCAGTAGGACTGGTGGTCATTCCTTTGTCTGCCGCCACTGCCACCTCTATCTCCACCCATCTCCAACAACGTTGTCGGAGGCAGAGGTGGAGGTGACAACATTGGACAGAAAAACCACCAGCGTCGCCGCTGCCACCTCTGCCTCCGGCCACCTCCGGCAACGTTGATATTATTTTTAAAATGTTAACCTATTTTTGATTTTTTTTAAATATATTACTTTTATTGATATTAAACACCAAAAGTTGCTCTTATATGCTATTACCCCTTTTTATAAAAAATATAAAAATAAATTACAAAAGTACAATGTAAACATATTTTTAAATAAATAAATAATATATAGAGGTATATCCAAATCCAACAAAATATGATTAGATTAAAATTTAGATGGGATCAAGATCTTGTCCATTTGCACCTTGACATGGGAATTGAAATGCACATTGATAACATCACTTGTATATTCTCATTCATTATTGGGACATGCTCTTGATGTATGTGGCTATGGTGTCCCATGGATAGCTCTTCCCCGCAATGCCCCACATCACGTCCTCACTGTGTATTGGGAACATCTCCCAATGATAGTACCAGTTCCGATGATGTCATCATCAGGAGATTTTCAATACATGGCGGGGATGTGCTATAGGGTGTTATGGGGCAGCTCCTTGTGGGGCAGAGATGTGAACTCGGATAGGAGATCTATAATAGCCATGTGTTTAGATTTTTTATCCACAAGAACCCTACTTACATCTCCCATAACTGTATATTATCATTTATGGGACATGTTCCTGATGTATGATTGTGGTGTCAAGGGCTTTTGTGGGTAGGAAATCTGGACTGGCAAACCACATACCAACGTTTTTGAACCGCCGTTGACCCGAACAGTCGGACCATTCGGCCCAAGAACCGTCCAAGCAACCAATTCCGTTTTACCTAAAACCCAAAATCTGGTAAAAAACCGTTGAAAAAAGTCAACAAACCGTTGACCTAGGCGATCAAACCGTTGACCCGTTCAACAATTTTTAACCATTTTTTTAATTTTTAATTTTTTAATTTTGATGTCAGAACGGACCGTCCATTCGAACCAAACGGTCAGACTGTTGACCCGAAAACTAATGCCTAAAACAATTCCGTTTCTGGGTCGTTTTTTAAAACGTTACCACAGACAACTTAATCCATTTTTTTTTTTTTTTCACTCTAAGGACGCAAGTGTCCTTTGAACTTCGAAGCACCAGAAGGGTCGACAAACATGTAACCAGTATCATAGTGAGGCAAATATTCAATTCCTGGGGTGAAAGTTATTAATCCCAATCCAATTAATCCACTCTCAAGCATCATGATTGTGTTATTCTGTGTGTTGGTCATTATATGCATCTGCTGCATTGGTAACACCTCTTGTATTTGTTAGAATCTGGATCTTTTACCCACAAGAATCCTATCCCACAAGAATCCTATCCCACACCAAACATCTCCCCGTATCTACATGGAAGATGTTTCAAATTTACAGCCGTAATGTCTTGTGGGTAAGAGATTCAAGCTCTATTTGTCATGGGATGCCAATCTCTATGTCCCCAATAAATGACATAGATTCAAGCTCTATGTCCCCAATAAATGGGTGGGTGGTTCTGTGGGATGCCAATCTGATTTCTGAAAAATGTTAATTTCCTGATATGTTGCAGGGAGCATTCGTACAATAGTAAAAAAAAAAACGGAGAACTACTGACGTACGTGGATGAAGAAGTGATCAAATCCATGAAATTAATTAGATTAGATTAGAAGAGGACTTGTCTTAACAGATAACAGGGTCCCTTCAATAATGTCATCTCTATATTTTCTTCTACAAGTATATCATCGAAATTTAACAAGAAAGTAAGTGCACATCGATCGATAGGTACACATATTTATTGAATCCTTACAACTAGTACTAGAGGCGGATCCGAACATCTTATTGGAGAGATCACCTTCTTACATGTACAATAGCACATATATATCAAAAAGAGTGGCTCATGGGCAAAACACAACCCTGTAGTTAGTACCGCCGGGGCAGGTTAATGTGCTTGTCTGTTGATCATTGCTGGGAAAACTAAGCATCCGGGCACATTTTCTTGAAGAACTGAGACAAGGGGGTGGGCTCGCAGTTCCCAGAGTAGCAGCAGTATTGGTTGGTCTTGTATACAGTGCATGGGTGGTTACAGCCTCCGGGGACCTTAAGCTCAGTTGGGCATTGCCCTACGATGTCAGCTGCGCATCTGGTCCGTCGGCATTTGTCACTGATAGGGCTTAACTCCACGGGGATGTTAAAGCCATCTATCAGAGAGATGTCGTAGAAATCCACGTTATTGAATTGATTCAGCGCGTATTCAACCAAGGTGTTGGGCGGGGTGCCGAAACCTTGGCACTGTAGCACCCCACCGCAGTCACCGGTCAGACACTGTCCCCGGCCGTTTGCATCGAAGCTGCAGTTGGTGCGGCCCCAAATGCGAGCTCCCTCTGTACCGGCTGTCACGTTGATGGTCCACGACTGGCCTCGTTCAAGCCGCTGGCCACCACCTGGGGAAGCAGCGGCCCAGACTGTGTAGGGACATTGGCTTCGGACCTCAAATGTGGCTGAATGCGTGGAGATGAAGAGAATAGCAGAGTAAAGGAGGGAGACGATGGAG